AATATTGGGGGGGGGGGGAATATGTATATAATTTTTTTTTTTTTTTTTCCCCTTTCCTCCCTTTTCTTTCAAAGTACTGCCCACACTCCAGTCCAGTAGGTGGCGGTAAATGCACCTTTAAGTTGGTTTGCCAACCGCCAATAAAATTTAAAGAAGAAGAAGAAGAAGAAGAACACATGCTCCAACATTTCTCTGAACGCTGCAGATTTGATCAGGATTGAGTGTTTAATTTTATAAACTGCTGGAATGAAAGTTAAAGCGCTTTGTAGAAACTCGGACGATTATGTTCGAGAGACGACCAGAGATATACAGCGAGGTATGTAAACATAACGTGATGATTATATGAGGGTTGGTGTAGTATGATGTATAGCAACTGTAATGTGTTCTCTATCTAGTGCCAAGCAATTACGACCCGAACCTGCATCCCTTTGAAGTGCCCAGAGAATACACCAGGGCCCTAAATGCCACTAAACTGGAGAGGGTGTTTGCCAAACCCTTTGTAGCTTCACTAGATGGACACAGAGATGGTATCAGCTGCATCAGCAAACACGCCAAAAGCCTTGTCAACAATCATCTCTGGTGCCTGCGATGGGGAGGTAACACTTTAAAGCCTTTACCGTGCTGTTTGAGTATTATGGCTCTTTTAGGAGCTCATTTAGGCTCTTGTATTGAGCATGCGCAGTCACTGTTATGTTTACATATTACATAACATGCACACCCAACATACAACAATACTGTAAACAATAAGACAAAGGACACAGTTAATGAACTTCAGTTTTGCAGTTATTTTTCCCAATATGTCAAAAGAGTGTGCAAATGGCCTTCTAAATTTAGTATGGATGAATGCGTGGATTCGTGATTCTTACAGGTGAAAGTGTGAAACCTTCCTAAGCGGGAGTGTTTGAGGACAGTTCAGGCTCATGAAGGATTTGTGCGAGGAATTTGTTCCCGCTTTTGTGGCACACAGGTGAAAGTGTGAAACCTTCCTAAGCGGGAGTGTTTGAGGACAGTTCAGGCTCATGAAGGATTTGTGCGAGGAATCTGTTCCCGCTTTTGTGGCACTTCCTTTTTCACGGTATTTTAATCCTGCATATTCCATATTCTTCCTTGATATAGATGAAGACAATCCAGTTAGTAAGTGCTTGTGCAGTTATGTGATTCTGTGAAATCTTCATGTGCAACAGGTAGGAGATGACAAGACCATCAAACAGTGGAACATGGAGGCACAGGGAGATGGAGTTCGGGAGGAGCCTGGGCAAGGTACAGTTTTATCTTATACATTATATCAAAGATTATTTATATTATTATAAAATTCTGAAATGGCTGTGTTTATTTGACCAAAAATAAATGAATATTGTAATTCAATAATATTATGGAATATTATTATTATTATAATTTAAAATAACAGTCTTCATTGTCACATGATCCTTCAGAAATCATTCTAATATGCTGATTTGAAGCTCAGTTATTATCAATTATTATTGGTGCTAAGTTATTGATGATCACTCTTAGTATTATCAGTGTTGAAAATGGTTTTCCTGCTTAATATATTTGTGGAAACCATAATAAATATCCAGGATATATCTTTAATGAATAAAACGGTCAAAAGATCAGTGTTTATTTGAAATAGAAACCTTTTGTAACATTATAAATGTCTTTAATGCTTCTTTGCTAGAATTAATTTCATTAATTTCTTTCTTTCTTTTTCTGTATCTTTTCAGCATTGATAAGAAATGTTTTTTGAGGAGCAAATAGGCATATTATATTGATTTCTGAAGGATCATGTGACACTAAAGACTGGAGCTATGGCTGCTGATTATTCAGCAGAATAAAATACATTTTAAAATATATTCGAATAGAAAACACAAATTGATAACTTTTTAAATTCTAATAGCATTTCACAATTTTACTGAACTAAAATGAAAAATTATAATTAAAAATAATCTGGATTATTATAGAAAAAGCACCATTTTATATTGAAGATACAATAAAAATCAGATGCTAATCTAAATATTACAATGTAAAACTACAATAAATACAAATAAAAACCAAGTAATACTGTTGGTCAGTAATTAGGGTATGTTTCACAATTTTATCCACTAAATTATATTTAGTCATATTTATAAATATGCACACACTTTTAGGGTTCTGTAAGGTTTTCGGTTTGTAAGAGGCCTGATGTGTCTTGCAGGCAGTGTTCACTGGCATTGACCACCACCAGAGGGAGGGCACATTCGTAACCTGCTTCAGCTGTGTCCGCTACAACCCTGTGGAGGTGATCGAATTCAATTTCATTCAATTTCAATTTACTTCAGCTGATCTTTTCATAATATGCATTGCTTTAAAGCAGCTTTACAATGATTCAAATATGTCAAAGCCAATATGAAAAATAAAATGAGAGTAAATAAATCATATGAAATCATATCATCTGTTTCTTCTACAGCCTTTATACTTACGATATAAGGAATCTGGATGTTCCTGTGAATGTGCACATGGATCATGTATCCGCTGTCCTGGATGTGGATTATTCACCTACAGGAAGGGAGTTTGTATCCACCAGCTTTGACAAAACAGTCCGAATCTTTCCGAAAGACAAAGGCCACAGCAGGTGAGTGTGGTGTGAAAAGGCCAAGGAGATCTCTCTCTCTCTCTCTCTCTCTCTCTCTCTCATGTGGGGTGAGCTCTCTCTCTCTCTCTCTCTCTCTCTGTCTCTCTCTCTCTCTCTCTCTCTCTAACACATACTGCTGGCCAAAAGTTTGAAATAATTAAGATTTTTTGGTACCACTTTATTTTAAGGTGTCCTTGTCACACATTACATGTACTTACTATTATAATAACAATGAATTATGCATGATTACATGCAAGTAACCCTAAGCCAAATCCTAACCCTATATAGTAAGTACATGTTAATATTATTCAGTACTTAAATGTATAATTACACTGTAACAAGGACACCTTAAAGTGTACCCATTTTTTTAAATGTTTTTTAAAGAAGTCCCTTACGCCCACCAAGGCTGCATTTATTTGATCAAAAATACAGTAAAAACAGAAATATTGTGAAATACTATTACAATTTAAAATAAGTGTTTTCTATTTGAATATAAGTTAAAGTGTAATTTATTCCTGTGATCCAAAGCTGTTATCAGCATCATTACTCTAGTCTTCATTGTCACATGATCTTTCAGAAATTATTCTAATATTCTGATTTGGTGCTCAAAAAAACTTTTTTTTTTAAATTAATATTCATGTTGAAAACTTTTTTATTTTATTTTTTTTGTGTGGAAACCATGATGCACTAAGATTTTTTTTGTTCTTAATTTTTTTTACAAATACACTATATTAGATTTTTTCATATTGAGGATATAAAAATAAAAATAAGTGCTAATCTAAATAAATTACAATAAAAAATTATAATTAAAATCTAATAATAATAATAAATAAAAAATGTATTAATAATGTTATTGAATAATTAGGGTATGTTTCCCATTGTTATCCACTCAAAGCATTAAAACCACTATGCATTAAAACCGTTTAATGCACATGTAATTCCAAGTCAGTTTAATCACTGTTCTATATTAATGCGCTGCTTTCACTGATGCACGCAAACACACCGTAACTGACGAAATAACCTCTTTGCCTTCACGTTGTGCATTAAAATCGTTTAATGCACAGGTAGCCATGCATTATCGCTTACATATGCATGCATGTGTACCACACCAAACGTATGCAGCATGTCATCTGTGTGAGATGGTCTGCTGATAACAAATATGTCCTGAGCGGCTCCAACGAGATGAGCATTCGGCTATGGAAGGGCCAATGCCTCGGAGAAGCTTGGACTGGTGAGTGCATTATCCCATTTCATGTCTGTCAACCAGAAAGAGTTTTAACTCAATGACTACAGGTTTTATAACTGATTGCAGAGCTTTTTAAGGGTATTCACTTGTTGCAGATGCACTCAGGTGGTTAATAAGGGCTGTATTTGGCCCTGTGGCCACCCCACAAAGCACTTAAAATGAATTACACTCACAAATCACTTTCATTAAGCACTTCTATGGCAGTGTTGCCACGGTCTGAAACCTGGCCAGGAAAAAGCTCTAGAGTTTTATGTCTCTTGTCAAAGCAACTCTTGTAATAGAGTGCCCCAAAGTGCCTAAACCCATTTCATAAAGTGAAGTTTGCTTACAAGGAAATCCGCACAGGTCCATAGATGTTTTTAAAGATTGAAGCACTTTTGTAGTTTATATAGGGATAAGAACGGCTCCGATAATTTTGCTCTCACTCAAAAAAAATTGTATAGATTAGGACTGGACTGTTTGGCTAAAATATTTTTCAGTTTTATCATGATATCTGATCTTGAAAGTTGTTAAAAAACAAGACCTATATATCAAGGAGTGTCAATTTTAGTCAGGGGGAAAGTAATTGTTACAAAACAGTAAATATGTCCCCTTTAAGTAAGCTTGATGTGTATATACACGTGGAAAGAAAGCTTTTTGTTCTGCTGAGGCAGAGGTTGGTTCCGCTCCAGGTAGATGGTAGTTTCTTCTCCCCATCAATTTGTATCAGCTCTAGTACAACTGATTCCCTCATGCGGCCCATCGTTGGCAAGTTTTTGGCTCCTGCTGGACTTTAAGAGAGAGATTTATTCTGATGCTTTTCACTTAAAGAGATCAGACATTCACTGCAGTTATCAGCAGTTTGAATCGGCCAATCACTTAAAGCAGAAAAATAATGAAGACCTTAAACTATCAAGCACATGAGAGTATTTAATTAAAGGGGCAGATGCTGAATCAAGAGTCTGCTGTCTGGAGAAGCTCTTTGGACATTAAAGAGACTGGCTTTGGTTTGGTTTGGTTTTTCTTTGCCGTCTGACCAAATGCCCATGTTACTAGATTATTAAGAAAATTAACTGTTTATGAGATTGACCCTCTGTGAGTGACTTATTACAATCACAGTATCAGATTTTTTCACTTAAGCACATTGTTTCTGTAGTTTCAAATAAGAAAAGGGCCATGCTTTACACTTTTATAGCCCTTTAATTAATCCCTAAAGTCCTCTTATAATGTTATACTTCATGTAGAAAATTACATATAATTGCTACTTGCAGTCTGTGTATATTGTGTAATATGTGTATATTTTTCTTTAAGCATTCCTGTAGCTTAAACAGTAGAGCATAGTGCTAGCAACGCCAAGGTCATTAACTGATAAAATGTATACCTTAAATGCACTTAGGATAAAAACATTTGCCAAATGCATAAGTGTAATTATATTTGTTATAATTTATATAAGAAAATAAAGCCTGTTTTTAAGACCATTAAGTTTATTGTGATGTTGTTTGCATGACAATAAAACACATTTCTCCCCTAAATTCTTACTGTAATGTGAAAAACATGTCATTAACTGTTATTTTAGTAATATTTATATAATATTTTAGTTTTCAATATTTTGAGCTTTTATATTTTAGTTTTTATTTATTTATTTATTTATTTTTTACATTTAATGTACTTTTGCCATTTTTATTGGTTTGTTTTTTAAAAATATTTGTAAAGTTATCTTTTATTTTAGTTTTCATTTAGTAATTCCAATACCTCTGCTTATTTAAAAGTTTTCATTTTTGTGTAGTTTTTCCATCTGATATTTATTTTATTCTATTTCAGCTTTATTTCAGTTAGCACAGGTTACGATAACAGTAAGTACAGTAAAAGAAAAATAAGTTGCTGCATAAGTATGGTAGTTGTAGTTCTTATGTTGCAACTTGTTAGCAATTTTAGAAACATAATAACAGATGTAAAATTCACATCTGAGGTTTGAATGCGTATAATTTATCTTGTAAAACAAGGTGTGAATGTCTCTTCAAGTAATGCCTATTTTACTAATAAATCAGTAAAAGGTTATTCTAAAATTATATTTGAAATTCCTAAACGATCCCATGGCTGATATGCTAATTCGCTTCTGGGCAGGACTACAAACCCAACAGCTCTATTATGGGATGTCTCCATGGAAACAGCAGAGTCATGTTCATTTTTCCCCCTCATGTGAACGATGTCAAGAAATTCGTAAATAAGAGTTAACAGACCTTCCGATTTTCCTCCCGAGCGCTCTGATGGCATCAGCAGCTATTTGATTGCCCTAAACAAATTGAATTTGAGAAAATCATTGCTTTTAATTAGAATAAAAGCCTCGGAGGGGTGTGGAGTGAGACGTGCTGAAGCCGGGGAGCTGAAGAGATTTTATTATAGAGAGATAGATGAGGAGCACGTTGCTGTGTTTCTTCTACTGAAAAATGTGGTTTTATGTTGATTGCCGAATTAAAAAGACTTCTCAGGATGTTGCATGTCTGTGCTGCCACTGTTGTGTTTATGAAGTGCATTCATAAGAAATGTGTACATTAATACAGTTTGAAAGCAGGTTGTACCCATAGCAAAATCTTTTCTGCTGTTGCATGGTGTATGCATGTATGCTGTCATGACCAAAGACACAAATCTCATTGTTCACAGCTCTCAGCTCGAGAAAAAGCTGCCGCAAACTATAACAAGAAGCTGATTGAGAAATTTCAGCACCATCCACAGGTGAAACGCATCGCCCGTCACCACCACCTGCCCAGAGACGTCCTGAAGCAGAAGTGAGAGCTGCGGGAAATGAAGAAAGCCCGGCGCAGGAAGTAAGTTCCCTTCACCAATGTTAAAGGAATAATTAACCCAAAAATGGCAATTTGTTGAAGAGATTTGGAGAAATTTAGCATTACATCACTTGTTCACTAATGGCTCCTCTGAAGTGAATGGGTGCCGCCAGAATGAGAATCCACATGCAATCCGCACAACTCTAGTCCATCAATTAAAGTCCCAAAATTCATTAATTTGCAGCACCTGGAAACCTTGTGTTGCATACCATAACAACATCAGACTTCTTTGAAAAAGCTTGGGAAAAAGGACACATTTCAACTTTAAATCTCATTGTATCTTGTGCCTTTTGGCTCTTTTGTACTGGCAGCAAAATGAAATGAATCCATGTTCAAGTTTGATTGGCATTCTGATTGTCTGTGCTTCTCTGTGTGTGTTTTTAGGGAACAAAACGTCCGCAAACACAGCAAGCCGGGATCTGTTCCTCTGCTGACAGAAAAGGAGAAACATGTGGTGGCTGTCGTGGAGTAAGAGCTGATTTAAAGAGGTGCTTTCGGTGGATGGGTTTCTGTTTCTCCACACACGGACACGCTCCAAAATATTCCACCCTTTGCCCTCTCTTGTACTTCAATACTAAGTTTTTGAGTGAAAAAATTAACTTAAATGATTTTAGCAAATGGCTGCAATATAACAAAGAGTGAAAAATTTAAGGGGGTCTGAATACTTTCCGTACCCACTGTATACAGCCTTAAATGCAAGCCTGATGTTTTACAGTGTTTGTGTTATGCAGTCCGGGTGTGTGTTCACGGTGTGTGTGTGTTCACTGCTGCGTGTGTGCACTTAGGATGGGTTAAATGCAGAGCACTAATTCCTAGTATGGGTAACCAAACTTGGCCACATGTCACGTCACTCACTCACTCACATAACAACATCAGTATGTTCATCTTGACTTCTTTGAAAAAACGTGGGGGAAAAATGACACATTTCATCTTTAAATCTCATTGTATCTTGTGCCTTTTGGCTCTTTTGTACTGGCAGCAAAATGAAATGAATCCATGTTCAAGTTTGATTGGCATTCTGATTGTCTGTGCTTCTCTGTGTGTGTTTTTAGGGAACAAAACGTCCGCAAACACAGCAAGCCGGGATCTGTTCCTCTGCTGACAGAAAAGGAGAAACATGTGGTGGCTGTCGTGGAGTAAGAGCTGATTTAAAGAGGTGCTTTCGGTGGATGGGTTTCTGTTTCTCCACACACGGACACGCTCCAAAATATTCCACCCTTTGCCCTCTCTTGTACTTCAATACTAAGTTTTTGAGTGTACACAAGAACTGTCGGCATACTGCTGTTTGCTACACATTTCTAACATTTCTAAAGAATTTTACATGGACACACACTGAGCTCTCTTTATAATTGGTTGTGTATGAACAATGAAAACATCTTTATTTGTGAATATTCCTGTTTCCAATTTAGCCTTCACTCCAAACCCACTGGGTTACACAATGACACATTGATGTAAGTAAACAGGACTGTTCCAAATGTTTCTATAACATAGGTACCAGTGAATGTGTTACCATCACCTGCTACCATTACCTGTATCACCATGTAAATTAATTAACATGGATTTACCTTGGAGCAAGGTTACCTTGTAGGTGTTCTTACTGATGTTATGTGGGCCATATATTGTCTGATGGTGAACTACAATAATTGCAAGCTAAGGTTGGTGAGTATTGTTAAGAGTCAGTTGTCTCAGTAGTTCTCATATACAGCCTTAAATGCAAGCCTGATGTTTTACAGTGTTTGTGTTATGCAATTGTTTGCAAAGGTAAACCAGCACTGTTTTCACATCCTGTAAACGACTTAATTCTTTAATAAGGTATAAAATACACTTCACCTTTTTAGCCCATAATCCTATCATCTCAATCTGCTCTCGTTTAAATCTCATCTATAGACTGCGCAACCCAAAGGTGTGAGAAATTGATTCTTTGAGTCAGAAACAGGTGCTTTGAACAATACTATGGTAACACTATAATTGTATTATAAAGTTATTTACATTGTATAATGTTGAACAGGTCAGTAAAATTTCATGTTTTAGTGTTTGAAGGTGCATCAACTAATGAAATTAAGCACTGAATTAGTAATGTTTGATATGATATTAATAAAGGTCATGCTACATTTTGCCTTGGTTAAAATGACTTGTATCAATCTCATGGAATCAAGAATCGCCTCAATAATATTTAATTCATTAATGCACATGAATGCAGCTGAAAGCAACACCCTAGGTTGTATTTAGCTGTAAATAGAAATGAACAAGATGATGTTTTATTTAGCAGTTTAAAATGTAATTAAGCCTTATCATTTTTTAAAAAGGATGTAGTAGTATTCCATAAAGATTCAAATAATTTGACGCATTATTGGTCTATACTTCCTATTGGCAACGGACCATGCTCAGGTTATTTTTAGAATGTATGGCTGATCCAGCTACAATGTAGATTCCAGTCCGTTTTTTCACGATGATTTTCTGTCAATGAAATTGCGAGTCCTACTATGGCAAAGGTTTAGATGAATATTAATTGGGTCATACTGACGTTGCGCCCTGACCTTCCAATGGTGCTGTCTTGATTCTTCAGTATTCATTGGGTCATGCTGACGATGAGTTCTTATCTTCCAATGGTGCTGTCTTGGTTCCTGAATAAAAGATTTATCATCAAATTGGTCAGTTTTATAATTTTGGACCACAAAACCAGTCAACATTTTATACATCTTCTGAAAGTTGAATACACAAGCTTTCCACTGATGTATGTTTTTTTTATGATATGTCAATATTTGGCCGAGATACAACTATTTGAAAATCTGGAATCTGAGGGTGCAAAAGAAAAATTGAGAAAATCGCCTTTAAAGTTGTCCAAATGAAGTTCTTAGCAATTTATATTACTAATCAAAAATTAAGTTTTGATATATTTACAGTATGAAATTTACAAAATATCTTCATGGAACATGATCTTTACTTAATATCCTAATAATTTTGGCATAAAAGGAAAATCAATCATTTTGACCCATACAATGTAATTTTTGGCTATTGCTACAAATATACCCCAGCGACTTAAGACTGGTTTTGTGGTCCAGGGTCACAA